AACGAACGAGCAAAGGAACAAAAATGAGCAAACCGTCAAACGAGCAAAAGAACAAACGAACGAAGAAACAAGCAATCAAAAACAAAAAAAGGAATAATGAAAAACGAAAAGGGATCAAACAATGATCAACGAAAAAACGTACAAACGAAAAACGAACATACAAACGAGCAAACGAACAGTCGAACGAAAGAACAAAAATGAACAAACGAAAGAACAAAAAAGAGGAAGCCAACTTACGAAAAAACAGATATAAATCAAAAAACCAAAATTTCAAAAAATAGAAGAAACAAAGAACTAAAATGACAAAAATCAATAAGGAAATATGAAAAACGATAAAGGAACAACAAATAAACGAACAAACAAAGAAATGAACGAAAAAGCGAGCAATCATGCGAAGAAAAGAACAAATAAATAAGCGAACAAACGAACAAACAAACAAATATACGAATCAACAATGACCGAACGAACAAACAAACGCACAAATACACGAAGAAACAAACGAACAAACCCCCAAACAAAAGAGCACTGGAAAAACGAACAAAGAAACGAAAAAATAACAAACAAAAGAACGAATTGACGAACAAAGATACGAGAAAAAACAAACCCACAAACAAACAATCGGAAAGAAAAAATGAAAATATAAGAGAAAAACGAAATAGAATTAAGAAACGAACACCGATTAAACGAATAAACGAGCAAATGAGCAACCTAACAATCGAACAAGAGAACAAAGAAAAGAACAAACGAAAAAACAAAAGAGAGCAAATTATTACGGGAAAAAACAAGATAAAAATAAAAAACCAAATTTGCAAACTAAAAAACAAATACGAAAAAATAAACAAACCCAAAACTAAAAAACAAACAAACGAACCAACAAGCAAACGAGCATACGAGCAAACGCACAAACAAACTTTCAAAGAAACTAACAAACTTAAAAATGAACAAACGAACTTCGAACAAACGAACAAAATAGCAAACGAGAAAACGAACAAACGATTAAACAAGCATACAAACAAACAACTGAGAGAACAAATAAAAAATTGACGAAAGTACAAGAAACATACAAACGAGCAACGATTGAACATCAAAACACCAAAAATCCAAAAAAACAAATAATAGAAATAAAAATAAACCAGAAAAAGAACAAAGGAAAAACAGTACAAAGGCACGAACGGGCCAACAAACGGATACAAAAAACCGAAAAAATGAAAAACCTAAAAACAAAAAAACAAAATACCAAGAAAAAACAAAAAATGAAAGAAAAAGCGAAAAACGAAAAAACAAAAAACGACAAGAAGAAAAAATTAATTGAACAAAACAAACAAAACTAAAATAAAAAACGATAACTAAAAACCAAAAAACCGTCAATTTGCAAAATTCAAAAACCTTAATACAAAAAACCCTCAATCAAAAATTAGAGAAACCAGAAACCAATCAAACCAAAAAACCCAATGACTAAAAAACCTAAAACCGAAAAACTAGAAAACCAAAAACTAATAAACCAAAAACAAATAACTAAAATAAAGAAATACGAACGACGAAAAACGAACGATGAAAATCGAACAACGAAAAAGGAACAAACAAACGATGAAACGAAGAAACGGAAAACGTAGAACCGAACAAAGGAACAACTAAAAACGGGAAAAGCCAACTAAATCACGAGCCTACGAACACACGATTAAACGAAAAAGAACGAACTAAAAACGGAAAACCGAAAACGAATTAAAGTAAAAAGGAACAAAGGAAAATACAAACAAACGAAAAACGAATAAACGAACAACTGAGCAAGAGAACAAACGAAAAGAACAAAACAAAAAAATCTAACAACGAACAAACAAACAGCCAAACGAAAAAAACCAAAAAAAGAACAAACGGAAAATTAAAATACGTACAAACGAGAAAACGAAAAAACTAACAAACACACGAACACGCGAACTATCCAACAAACGAAAAATGAAAAACAAGAAAAAACAAGAGACGAAAATCTAAAAACGACAAACCAAAACGAAACACGAAAATCAAAAAGTGAGCAGCGAGGAAGGAAAACCGAAAAAGAGAAACGAAAAACGAGGAATATGAAACGAAACACGAGAAAAGAAAAACATAAATCAGGATACGAGAAACTAGAAACAAAAACGAGAAACGAGAGACGTGCGACGAGGAACGAAAAAGAAACGAGAAACAAAAACAAAAAACGAACAAAAGAAAAAAGGTAAAACGAAAAAACAAATATAATAAAAACAGAAAACCAAAACACCAAAACGAACTAATGAAACACAAAAACACGAAAAACAAATAAACAAAAAAGCAACAAAAAGAACAAAAAAGCTAAAAGCTAAAACAAAAAACAAAGAAAATTAAAAAACAAAGACTAAAACCAAAAAACAAATCCAAAAAACAAAATCAAAAAAACGATAAATACTAAAGCAAAAACAAAAAAACAAAAAACTCACACGAACAACGAACAATGAAAAACAACGAACAACGAGCAAATGAAAAAACGAATAACGAACTACAAAAAAGGAAGGACAAAACGTACAAACGAAAAATCGAACAACGAACAAAGAAACAAGCAAACGAACACGCAAACAAACGAATGAGCGAACAAATAAACAAACAAACGAGCAAACGAACAAACAAGAACGATCGAACGATCAAAGAAACGAACAAATCAGCAAACAAACAGCAAACAAGGATACGAACAAACGAAAAAGGAAAAACGAACAAACAAACTAACAAACGAAAAAACAAGAAAAAATCCTAAAAACAAAATACCAAAAAACCTAAAAACCTGAAATACCAAAAAACAAAAACAAAAAAAAACGAAAATTTAAAAATGAAAAACGATAAAAGAACATTTGAAAAAATGACAAACGATCAAACGAAAAAACGAATCAAACAAACAAATAATGAAAAATCGATATAGAAATTGAAAATTAGTAATCGATATCGAAAGGATTTTTCATTTTTCGTTTCTTGTTTTTCGTCTCCGGTCTCTCGGTTTTTTCTCGCTTCTCAATTCTCGTTTTCTTTTTTCGTTTATCGTTTTTCACTTTTCCTTTCTCGTTTTTCATTTATAGTTTTTCCTTTGGTTTTCGTTTCTCGTGCCTCCATTATTATTTCTCATTTCCGGTTTTTCGTTTCTCGTTCATTTTTCTCGATTGTCGTTACTCGTTTCTCGTTTATCGTTATTCGATTTTCGTTTCTAGTAATTTTTTCTCGTAATCAAATCGGGAAATCGATATCAAAATAGGACATCGTTTCCGAAATGATATATCGATATTAAAACAGGAAATCGTTATTGAAACTAGAAATCAATATCGAAATGTAAAATCGAAATGAGAAACCGATATCGATTTTTCAAATCGATTGCGAAATGAGAAGTCGATTGCTAAACGAGAAATCGGTATCGAAATGATTAATCAATATCAAAATATAAAAAAAATATCAAATAAGAAATCGATATCGAAATAAGGTATCGATGTCGAAATAAGAAATCGATATAAAAATGAGAAGTCATTATAAAAATGAGAAATCGATACGAAATAGGAAATCGATACCGAATTGGGAAATCGATATCGAAATGACAAATCGATATAAATCGGAAATGCATATCGAAATGAGATGTTGATTTCGAAATTAGACAACTCGACATCGATTTCTCACTTTGGTATCGGTTTCTAATTTGATTTCGATTTTTCATTACGATATCGATATCTCATTTATGTATTGGCTTATTTCGTTATCGATTTCCCATTTCGATACCTCAGTTCAATATCAATATCTGATTTTGTAATCGAGCTGTTATTTCGATGTCGATTCACCATTTCGAAATCGATTTCCCATTTCGATATCGTTTTCCTATTTCTCTACGGATTTCTTATTTCGATTTTGGATTCTTATTTCGATATTAATTTCCAATTTCAATATAGATTTCTCATTTTGATATCGCTTTCTCATTTCGATATTGATTTCTCATTTTGTTTTCGGGATTTCCATTTCATTAGCAATTTTTCATTTTAGAAATGATTTCCCACTTAAGAATCGATTTCCCATTGCAATATCGATTTCTCATTTCGATATCGATTTCGCATTTCTATAAATTTTTCTTATTTAGATATCTATATCCCATTTCGATAACTGTAGTCTATTTCGATATCAATTTCCCATTTCGATATTGATGTCCCATTCAGAAATCGATTTATCATTTTGATACCGTTTTTCAATTTTTTAAATCAATTTCTCATTTTGATATCGATTATTGAAAATGCATTACTTTAGTTCGCATCCCTTGCATTTCAATAAAAAACGTGTACCATTGTTGAACGTATTGTAGGCATTTGAAAGGATTGTCGATGAAAAAAATTTTAAATGAGGTGAAACGAGTTTTTGGATTCAATACGTGTATCTCCCTTCAATTGGGCACACAAAATATATATCAAAGCATAAAATGAATTTAAGAAATGGGTTAGTATCTAGTTCGATTTTGCTTTCTCTTGCACATTCGTTAACTTCATTTATCAAGGTTGCATTTTTAACTTCGGTTGATCAAAGAATTAAGAAAAATAACTAATAATTTTCAATTGGAAATGCTAAACCAAATGAAGTTAAAAGTTTCAAAATGAAAAAAATGTGGGACGGATGAGAACTCGAAATTTTCAGAAAGCGGGTTCAGTGGCCTTTTCCCTTTTGAACATGGAAAAAAGGAAAATACTAGTGAACTCATTTATGCAACACATCTGCAATTTCGGATGGAGAAAAGTGATGTGGTTAATTAATTCTTCAATAATTGTGCCACCCATAATACACTCACGAAATGTGATAATATAAATACGAACATTTGAAGATTAAATTTCAAAGAGAAATTTAAAGCACTTTTTATATCATTTTGTGAGAGCCACTGTCAACATAAGCAAGTGTTATAAATTTAGTGTCCGTAATTTTGTATAGTTATGGTTAACATCTTAAACTTAACTAATCATTTTATTTTTTATTTCAATATCTGATGAATATACTATTTACAATATTCCAACACTTTTTGTAAGACACTGTACAAGTTCATGTGTTTTTATTTACAAGGTTAAATATCAGTACATTTGTCAATACATAAATAATTCTACAACTAACATCGTAATGTAAAAAAATCACAAAATTATGTGTATACTACAGGTACATTTCTTCGCTGATGTCAGTACTTCAGCTGTTAGGGCTTTTTTGTCGAAAGCACTACAGACGCCTTTGACGGCAGCTTCACCTCCTTCGACAACACTTGTTGCCTGAAAGTAAACAAGAACAAGCGAAAACAATTACTTGCATTTGTAAGAAGTGGGTTACTAACAGAGTTCCTTGTCGTTTATTATCAGAGAGTTTGAGTATGTGTGCCGCAAATAAGATAGACGGAAAGATGCTGACGTCAATCTGACTATACACTGGCGACACTTGAAAATCAACAAAGCGTATCTATTAAAATATATGACGTCCAGTTTCATGATGAGAGGTTAAAGACTTGACTGATTACTTCTTCTTTAGGGGTGTGTGTTCTATTGTTTGTAAATACTCTTGGAGACATTACGTTTATGCTTTTTTTCGATAAAGTAAGTTCTTTCGACTTTCTTCAATGAGTAGGACTTATTGTTAGTAAAGAAAGGTCATGAAAATAAATTTTCAACCTTCAAAACTATCATGTTGCTAGTTTATTTTCAGTGCACATTTAAATTAATAAAAAATAAAAGTATGGGAATGACGCTTACCCTATCCGAAGGCCTGAGTTGATACTGGGAATCACCACCGACAAGAATTCGGGTAGCTCTCCCCCGAACGAGGTGAGGAGGTCAGCCATAGCGTCTTCTGGAGCCAAATTTATCACCACAAGCAGAGTTTCAACCCCAGCCAGCTCCCTGAAGAAAGAATCATTGAAAATGAGAGAAAATAATGGCATGAATTTTATAAGATCGAGAAATTCAATTTTAGTTTGGCTATGAGATATTCAGTTTTCTCTTCTCACCAATTTTGGTACAGTTTCCTGTTGAAATATGTTATGGAGTACAAAAGAATTGGTGTGAGAGGCACAGCAATATAACCTACCACCAGAAAAACTTAATAATATTAATATTAATGTGTACTCTTAAAATTAATTGTTGATCTTTTAAACAATGTTTATCATAATGTTTATTGACCATTTATTAATTGGGTAATACTGAAAATGGACTGTGGTGGAATCAGGAGTGGATTAAGAAAGTGTTTCGGGTGGGGGGAACGGGGACATTTTAAGTTTGGATATTTTGGATAAATATTTTTGAAATAATTTTGATAAATTTAGAGATCTTAACACAAATTAAACGTGGCCTTTTTTAAGCGTCCTTTGCACTATCTGAGGGACAAAAGAAAAGAAGAAGCCGTTTTTAGAAATTTTTTTTTCTAAATTGATTTTACTGCATGCAAAAATTACTAGTTTTTTTCAAAATACATGTTCATTTTTAAAAAAAAATTTTTTTCGAATAGATTTCATTAAGGAAAATATCTCTGTAATCAATATAGTAGTTTTGCAATTATAATTTTTGGCAAGTTTTGAAAAGACCGAGGGTTTGTCGAAAATGGATCTGATACATTTCTTTAAGCGTCTAATGCTGTATCCGATCTTAAGAAAAAAGAAAGGAAAAGAAATTGGACGCGCTTTTTTTATAAACTGCCTTACTTTTTATAAACTGCCCTTACACGCAAAAATTGTGGGAAAACTACTCGTTTTTTCAAAAAATTGCTGTTGTCCATTTTAAAGATCTAATTATTAAAACATTTCATCAAGGAAAAAATCTCTGTTGAGAACATTTTGAAAATGTTGAGATATATAAAGTGATATTTTGAGTTTGGGAGGCACTTTACTTATACCCCTATAGACCAAAATATCCGTTTCAAACTGGCAGGACCTCGAATTTGACCAGATCGAAGGCGGGGGGGGGGATCAGTTTTGGAAAAAATCATCCGATCGGTTTAGACGCGAACGTTGACCACAGTCAGTATACAGACGTTTTGCCGTCAACCAATGTTTCGGATTGATGGATCCACAAATCGTGGATTTTGACTACACATGTGTTAGAGGAAGTAATTTACTACATAGAGAAAGAAGATGTATCCACCTTTTCGATACAAGGATCACTCAATAAGTTTTTCTCTTGAAAAATAAACGATTTTTGCCGCAGCATAACAATATCTTTAGTACGTAGTATGTTGTAAGGTGTGAATGTAAAATTGTTGGCTTTGGTGGAAGGGCAATTGTTTCCATGACCCTGCTTTAGATCCACCACAGTCTGATATGGCCATCGCCATGATATGCGAAAATCATAGTCAAATAATTAACTCCCGATTCTTCTTGGGGAGCTTCGGACAACTTTTCCATGTATTTCCATAATCATTAAGAAAACAACTAGCGAGTTTACTTTGTCACTTTTGAAACATTATACACACTTTTTCCTTCTGCAGTGGTTTAAACGGAAATGTTAACAAATGTTAACAAACGTTAACCTTTAATGTTATACAAACAGATATCAGTTAATGGCAATTTACCCTTGACACTACTCTATTGTATAGTGTGTTTGTATCACTCTCCAGAGTCGCTATTTTTACATCGCGATCATTCGATTCTTTTGTATCATCTTAGAAATAATGACGTATGCACACGATCTTAATCTTGTTTTGTAGGATTAGATTAGCTTTCTTTCAAAACGACATGCAAGCAAATGAAATAATTCATCAGTTTTTCCGCATGATAATAAGCTTGTTATTTTAAATTTTATTAGTTTAAAACGAATGTTTTCATTTCAATATAAAATAACACATTACAAGATTTACATTTTTTTGTTAATCGTAGATTTCACGTTGCAGCATTCTTGGAGTATCTAAGCCACAAGTCTTGTTAATATATAATTAATTTTAACGTACTCATCTGTTTTAAATAACCTTCGTACACTTTGTCAGAAACACTTGTTTTCTTGCATTCAGTGAAAAGGCAAGTGCAAAAATGAAGTGTTTGTCCCATGAATTATTAGAAATTTCCTTCATCAACTTAAAATTATTTGAAATTAACATGTATTATATTAATTATTTCTCGGGAATTTCTAAGCTTACAGTTGGCACTTAAATAATTTGCATTTCAGATTTGCTTTAATATTTATCATTATGCTTGGTCATGGCGTTTACAAATGAAGTTCAATAAAATGTAGAAATTACAGTTCTGCGGCAGTACTGATTTTTTTTTTTTTTTTTGCCATAGTGAAACTTCTTGGATGAAGCCATTGAACTGCGAACTCATTCAGGAAAACTACTGGAATTGAACTCTTCATAATCGTGACATAATCAGTGGGTGTGTTTAACAATGAATGATCTGATAAAAAACGATAAGAATCAAAACCTATTGTCTTTGGTTTTGGCAAATAGCATCGATGTAGAACGTAAGAATAACTCACAAAAACGTCGTCAGGTTTTATTGAGAGCGGTCATCTTCTAAGACAGACATTATATATTTTTACCTCGTGGCTTTATATTCATTACTTTTGGCGGTACAATTCAAATTAATTAATGTTCTCAGTCACCAGCCAGTCCCGACAGAGCCAAGCATAATATTCAAAAGGTTGAATGAGCTCACTTTTCAATCTTGCAATGGAACGAAAAATTAACACAAACACACCATTTTGTTCGGATTCAATTGTTATGTATTTAAAACCTGAAACTTGGGGTGTCCGGAAAGAGCCGCGTCTATGTGGTAGTGGGAGGCATTTCGTCCATCATGCGATGGCCATCTTCAGAGCTATAATGCTAGCAGAGGACGGTCGAGACTTGATACTGCCAACCTGATAGTCCGAAAATGGGCGATATATAATATCAGCGTAACTCCGAAGACTACCGTGAATTAATGCTAACCCCAGTGGAGTTCCAAAGAAGATGGAGTCATGGCAGCTTCTTAGCTCCGAAGATGGATGCGGCATCATATTGCAAGCAATATAGCACCGACGAAAGCCGAGAGATGATACTGTTGGCAGTGTATCTACGAAGTAGTACATATTACTGTCAGCAGTATAGCTCCGTCAAATGCTGGTGAAGATGAAAAGACATGATAATTGAAACGCCAAGCCAGATGCAGGACTGGCGCTGCATCCTGTAGGTGATCCTGTAGGGGCGCTGTCAGCTCGGTTATGAGTCTCTCTTTTGGCGCAGGGTTCTAGGGGTACAGGCGTGTAGGGTTGTAAGGATTCAGAGGTGAAGGGGTGTAGAAGTGTAGCGATGTAGGGATGAAAATGGGTAGAAGTGCAGAGGGTAGGGGAGCAAGGGAGTAAGGGTGCAGAGGTGTAGAAGTATAGAGGTATGCGGGTGTTAGGGATGTAGAGTGTTCAGATGTAGGAATGGAGAGTGTAAGGGTGTAGAGATGTAGGGTGTGTAGTGATGTAGGGGTGTAGAGATGTACGGGTGTAGAGATGTAGGGGTGGTGGGATGTAGGGGTTGTAGAGATGTAGGGGTTTAGGGGTATAGAGTGTAGAGGAATGAGGTGTAGGTGTATATATGTGTAGGGTACGAGTATAGAGGTGTAGGGTATAGAGAGTTAGAGTATAGATGTGTAGACGTGTAGGGGTAAAGGTATAGGGGTGTGATGTGTAGGGTGTAAAGGTGTAGAGGTATAGGATGTAGGGAGTGTTTAGGGTAGGTATGTAGAGGTGTGTATGGTGGGGTGTAGGTATAGAGGTGTAGGGATGTAGGGGTAGAGGGTTGAGGTGATAGAGGTGAAAGGGTTGCGGTGTAGAGGTTTAAGATGTAGAGAGGTTTAAAGTCTGTAGGAGTGTAGTGGTGTAGGGGCATCGTGGTGCAGATGTGGAGTGGTGTCAGCGTGTTGAGTATTCACTTTTAGAGTCGTAGGTAGTAAAGGGCGCAGAGGCGCAGAGAGCGTGCGGTGACCCACCTGGCGAAGGCGAGCAGCGAGGCGGAGGGCGTCTGCAGGTTGAGGGCGCCGCGCTGGGCGACCGGCGACCCGCGCAGCTTCACCAGGCGCCGGAACACCTGCAGGTGGCTGACGGGGAAGCGCGCCTGGATCTCGGCGTTCACCGTGCGGTACGACGGCGCCACCGGCAGCCACGGCCGCACGCCCGCCGGCGCGAACCCTGCGCGGGCCACACAACGGGGTTACAGGGGCCCACGAGGACTCAAAAGCGTCTTCCATTCATCGCACCGAAACCCACTCCAGTAAAGTCAATTAAAGTGAAGCATTAATGTGTATATACAGGTGACGCATTAAAATGTATAAGTGTAGCAAGGTTAGTCCAATAGCCAAAGCAACTGGTTGATGTTTTAAACAATTTATTACATTTCATGCGTCTACGTATCGTAATTAGGAAGAGTTTTATGTAGGTAACAATCATAAGCATATACAATGTCTACACATAATTGCTGTACCGATTTAAGTAGTTATTCCATTGTTGAACTAACTAATGTATGACGTCAGTGAAGAAACTAGTAGTTGTGTGTGGACCTGTTTATCCTCTTTCTTACAGCTTCCAAGAAACCGTTTGGTTAACATTTGAATTAAGCCGCTAATTCGCAAATTAGTTATATTTTGGACTTATTCGTAAGCTGTAACATACACGCTTAAAGGAGTTTGTCATCTGAATGAAGAGCTTGTAATTGCTATTACCTAGTAATTAACGAATAAATTTTCAATATTTATTTTTTGACGCAATATAACGAAGAATAACAGTTGCTAATTTGCTGAAGGATTACGTCGGTAAATCGTTTTCTAGCTATAGATATTTCAGACTAGATTGGCCATGCACGTAAATAAAGACTGGAGTTGCGCGCGCGTCGCTTTTACCTTTTCTTTCCTTCACTCCTAGGGGTGGTACTGCCAAAATATATTTTGTACCAGACTTTTTTTCGTGTTTGACATGCGATGACGCAGACCGTGGTTTCCTAATGATACGCAATAGCAACAACTTTTCCAGTGACCTGGTCTACCCTTATTTCCACCAACTAGGAATGAATAAATGAAGGGGATAGAGCGTACCTACCACCCGAGCGCTTCTACCATACACGTATGACGCATATCATCAAACTTTCAGATCATTAAAAGTATTCAGTCAATGCAGGTATCGGACTGAAGAATGTCGAAAGTAGAGGACTTAAATCTGGTATTCGCACGAAATATCCTGCAGCCCGTACCTGCAGCCGATTGATTAGCGTTTCAGGGCGCTTCAACTGCTGAAATCACTAGTCCCATAAATGTAGTGCATGTTTTTATCTCGAAATGGGATGGTGATCTTTCCCCAGTGAATGGCGAGATTGGACACCGAACTCCATGTCGACTTGTGGAGTTTTCCCCCAACCAGGTATCTCTCACCGGCGGGGCACCGCTTCAGCCGGGACAAGTTCTAGCCTCCCGACTGGTTTCCCGTCATGTGTGCGAGTTAAAGTGTGTGTAGTAGGGAGTGAAGATAGGACAGGGAACAAAAATGAATGACCGACCGCTGTTCGGTTTGTTAGGGTACTGCTCCGGCTTGGTATTGATTGGAGAAACCACGGAAAACTACCGACCAGAGCAGCCAGTCGCTAGAATTCCCCTCCAGACAGCGACTGGATTCGACCTAGCTGACAAGCTAGTGCCAACCACCACCGGGACTCGTACCTCCTCCCGGTCAGGGCATTGCAGTGACATCAATCGAATCATTTATTTCAGAAACCCGTCAAACACCAAAATCTAAAACACGCTTTAGCGACGGTTCCAGGAGGATAGACACATCATTTAGTGTTTACTAGGCTGTCCGGGTGACGCATTACGCCCTGAGGAAGGTCACGGAATGGCGATCGAAACGTCGGCACCTTCGCCATGGACGCGGCGTCACCCGGACAGCCATGTAAATACTGACTCCGGCCGCGGAAGCCTACGCTCTCACATAATTTAGTGCTTATTTATAAGAAAAATATTCATTTATCAACTCCTTTAATAAACATATATTTTGAAATCTGAAAAATTGGGAGACTTATTCTCCGTTTTCTCAAAAATAAAGAAATCACGAAATCAGGATTTGCGATTGGTGGGTTTCTAAAATAAAAGATTCGATTGCTGCTCTGAGCCACTTGAGCCGGTCCGCCGACGCCGAAGTGTCAAGCACAAGGAAATAATGGCAGAACACGTGGTTGCCCGGGCGCACCTGCGTTGGCGGAGTCGTCCCACTGGAAGGGCGTGCGCTCGGGGTCGCGCGAGAACTTGGCGAAGCGCTGCGGGCCGGCGTTGCGGCCCGGCGGGTCCACCGTCTGCTCCCACGCCACGGGCCCGTCCTCCATGCCCAGCTCCTCGCCCATGTACACGACGGCCGTGCCCGGCAGCAGCAGCGACAGCATGTTCATGGCGTCCGCCAGCTCCGGCCCCACGCGCGTCGCCACCCGCGGCTGGTCGTGGTTGCCCAGCTGCGCACACGCGACAGGAGGTACTCTAAGAAGGCACCACTTTGGCAGGTCGGGAAACAAATGGATCCCTTTCAGAATGACACGTACCAATTTATAATGCTGCCAACATCCACCTCGTACTTTCAAAGTAATCGTATCCCTCGTGCCACTCCTTGAGGCGACACGTTCGTAACAATATGTTCTTTTAAGCCGTTACATAGGCAAAGCCCTCTCCTCCCTGCACCCCTCGCTGTGGATTATCAAGAAAACTTACGCCTACAGTAGTTTACCCTACTACTGTTGGTGGGGTAATTTGTGGGGCTGAGAGGAAGAGGCAGGCAGGCACTCACCACCCAGTTGGGCCTGCCGCCGGGCGGCATGTTGTCCATCCACTGGTTGTGACGTAGGCAAATCCCTCCCCTCCCTGCACCCCCGCTGTGGAATATCAAGAAAACTTACGCCTACAGTAGTTTACCCTATTACCGTAGGTAGAGTAATTTGTGGATCTGAAAGGAAGAGGCAGGCACTCACCACCCAGTTGGGCCAGCTGCCGGGTAGCATTTTGTCCATCCACTGGACGTGACATAGGCAGAGCCCTCCCCTCCCCGCACCCCCCGATGTGGAATATCAAGAAAACTTACTCCTATACTAGTTTACCCTATTATGTAAGAAGGGGTAATTTGTGGGGGCTGAAAGCAAGAGGCAGGCACTCACCACCCAGTTGGGCCAGCCGCCGGGCGGCATGTTGTCCATCCACTGGTCGACGGCGTCGCGCAGGTCGTGCGACGTGGTGGCGTTGTTGGCCGCCAGCAGCGCGAAGTTGAAGGGGAAGTGCGCGCCGGGCGCGGCGCTGTCGCCGAAGTAGCGCATCACCTGCTCGCGCTCGCCGTACGCCTCCACCACCAGCAGCCTGCGCAACAGCGATACATAATGCAAAACAGTCCATGACTACAAAACAGTGATATATAATGAATTAGTTTACATGTGTATTGTATAATTTTTTTAAAGACTTAATATGTTTGTAACTAATAATGTACTACAGCTTCCGGGTCAATGACCCCCATCTCGATCACGTTTTTGTCCAGTTCCCCTGATCCATTGAGCAAATGCTGAGATGGCCCCTTGTTTTGCGTCTGAACGTAAATGAAGCTTCATTATGCGCACGTTTTGTTGAACTCTCCTTTTGCTTGTAGTGTTAAGGGTAGAGGTAAGGGCGAGGTGCTATTTTGTCAGCAATGCAGAAAAATCATACTTGCAATTCGTGTGCGATTTTAAAAATTTATTTTTATTTATTTATGTTAAAATTTTACTAATCTCTCAACTATTTATAGTTATAATGACGGGAAGGAATTCTGGAACTCATGAAAACGTGTGCAGATAATCCCCCCCCCTCCGTCACATACTGTTTTTTGATTGAATCTATCTAAATATAAATAGTACCGCACTGACATCACATTAGTTGTCGCTTTGGGAGAGGGGAGCTAGCGCACTGGCTTCGGAAAGCTATGTCTAGCTCTTTTGGGAGGGGGGAAGGCGACATTTGTGAAACAATACCTCGTTCCTCCAAATGAGAATTTTACAGGGCGGACCCAAAGGGTGAAACGGAGATGGTTGGGGCGGCGCACTGCAATATGATTCAAAGATCAAAATTCTCAACGACCTTCGGTTACGCCGCAAAAAAGTGGTGGCGGCGATGGTGTTGGAGGGGAAATGTCACGGAGGCTGATGCGGAGGCAGGCACTTGGCTACGGGGATGTGTGTGTAGGCAAACGATCGGGCGAAAGCGAGGGATGGCGCGATATGCTGCCGGGTATACAAAAAGTGTATTTATACTTCCACACAATTTAAATACAAGATATTTCAGAATAAATATTACACAATTATAAGGGATATAAAGGGCTGAAAATACTTTTTTAGATTTTTATCAACAAGAAATCTGAGAAGAAATCGTATCCCTGCCAAATACCTGGGAAATTTGAGTTATCCACCAATCTGTACACATCAGTTACAGCTGCGCTATAACTACTTCAATTGCCAGGGCCACCACAAACTGCCTCAATCTCCTCTCACGCAGCATATCGTGATGCCGCCATCCCTCCTCCGCATTTCTTTCCCTTTTCCAGTTTTCACCCGAGCTCTTGCCCACACACACATCCCTTCCGCCTACCTCCGCACCAGCCTCCGTAACATTTCTTTCTCCACCACCATCCACACCCACTCCCACCTCCGTTTCACGCTTTGTGTCAGCCTGGGAAAAAACTCTTCATTTCTCTTGCGAGACATCGCATCGCTGGGTTTCTAATCCGTCGCTGCCAACGCAGAGGAAAGTGTGTTCGGTTTACCAAAAGGTTTGGTTCATGAAAAGTCACCTGAAAGTTGAGCATACTAAGATTGCTTCCTTTTTCGTGAATTAATTGAGTACATATCCGAGTCATAAGCTGGAGAAATGAGCTCTCGACGCTACAAAAAGAACAATATTTCGTAACTTTCAAGCAATAACATCTATTCCTCCACTTCAATTTCTTATATTACTTTGTATTAAGTTTATCAAAACCATCGACTATTGTAATAAAATAAAATATTTCTAATTTTTATGTTTGCGTGAATATCACTGTCATGAAATAAGTTCGTTTATAGTAAAAATGATGATACGTGGTGCTCTTTCTGAAATGTCGATGTGCACATATTCATATGCAGCATGCACCATGCAATATACGCCATGCATATGATATGCAGTATGCACCATGCATATTGATATACATAGTTATATGCAGCCGATATGCTTCGAGTCTATAAATCATGGAGTTGATATGCATGGAGATATTAAAAACATTTCTCCATGCATATCAATGCACGTGTTCTTGAACCCTGAAATTCCTTCGCCTTCTCCTCTATCAACAATAGTTGAATTACAAATAAAAGATAGCAGCAAGAGTATATCTAGTGATAAAAATACATTTTCACTCCTGTGTTGTTAAAATTATTTCTATCGTAATACAAGCTCTAGATTGAGATAATAATCGTACTTACTCCCACTTCGGGATATAGCTAAATGAGAGCTTAAGAAAATGTGATCGGATTATACGAGGTGCTCTTCCTAAAGAGGCGATTTGCAATTTTCCTACATATCGATACGCAGACAATAAATAAAGGAGTTGTTCGGGACTTTTTGGACAACGTAGGGTACAACAATCGACAGCATTCTTGAGACTAATAGCGGAAGAAGTCGGGAATCCAATTTTAGGTCGAAATCGAAAAATTTGCGAACTGAGTAAGAGCTTAATTATCACAACGCCATATCATCTTATTTCTCATTTGTTAGTCTAGAGCTGCCCACTGATCTGTACATATAATTCCATAAATATTGTATTATTAAATCAATACAACTAATATCTTAAATACGTATAATTATATTTACAGATTAATGCCACCAACTTAGCACCGATAATGCATCATGGGAATTTGGAGTTAACAGCTCATTCCGCCACGGTCGGGGACGAATATGATGAAGTATGACCAAGCAATCGATTAGCATGCGATATAAGTCGCCCGTTAAATCCAGCGGAATACCGGACCCTGCTATCAACTAGTTTGAGATCGAGTTAGAGCAAGCGCTGAGGCCCAAAGTGCAATGGATTAATGGACGCTACGTTGGGTAAAAAGTCTCTGTAATTCACGGAACTGCGGGGTACTTGATTGATTGATCATTTCGTCATTACGATTGTGTCAGCGGCTATGTTCATTTGTCCCGTAAGTGTAATGCGTGTTTTATCAAGGGAGACGGGGATGTTTTTCCTCCTGGATGACGAGATCCGGTGTCGACCTACACGTCGGCTTGCGGGGTTTCTCCCACCCAGGTATCTCCCACCATCGGGGCATCGCCCTAGCTGGGACAAGCTATAAGCTCTCGTCGAGTCTCCCAACTTGCATCGTAGTATAGTGCATATCACTGTAAGTGGATGCCGATAGGATAAGGAAGAGAAAGAAAAAGATCGTGCGAGATCTGTATCCCGTTTGTTCAGGTAGTGCTCCGGCATTTGCGTGGTGTTGATGGGAGAAACCACGGAAAGCTACCAATCAGATAAGTCAGCCGCTAGAATACTACATCAGACAGCTGCTGAATTCGTCAGAGTGATCTATCTATGTAGTGTGGAAAATACTGCCACCTAGGCCCTCCTGGCCAGAGTGAACGCCGAGGCAGCCGTCGTGACGGCGAGCACGCACCTGGTACGACCGTCGGCGCGCGAGTGGGCGTCGAGGCGGGCGCGCCACGCCGCGAGCAGCGCGCGCGTGGCCGGCAGGTGCTGCGTGCGCGTGTGCGCGAGCGACGCGTGCTCGCCGGGCAGCACGCCCTCCGCCTCCGCCCCGGGCGCGGGCTCCTCGTCGCGCAGCAGCTCGTCCTCCACCAGGTAGGGCGCGGCGTCCACGCGGAAGCCGTCCACGCCGCGCTCCAGCCAGAACTGCAGCACCGCCTGCGCGCCACGCAACACACAGCCATCAGGTCAACAAATGCTTCCATGGCAACTGCTTCTACCTCTATTTCTACGTAGCTAATGGCGTTGAAAACCCAGGACCTTCAAGCAAAAGGATGCTTCGATGAAGGTGTAGTGCATCGGCTTCAAAAATATTGAATATTCCCTCTTCACCTTATTAATTACCAAATTTGCCTTTTTCAGATAGAATTACCAAATTTGCCTTTTTCAGTTGGAATGATTCAACAGCCGCCATATTTAGTAGCAGGGAACTTTCTTGTAGTTAATTATAATTACGTATAAGAAAGTGTCAGTGAAAGATGATAAGTAATGTGCCATTCTCACTGTAACATTCGCTTATTTTTTCCCGTTGGGTTTGACGCTCAGCAGCGGCGCAACTGTTTATCCCACAAAGAACCTATAAATCTTTAAAGTAGACAATTTCATCATCTTTCATTTTATAAAATGTCAATATTTACGAACAATGCGTAGTTTTTGAGCCCCATTTAGATAAAATAGGAAGAACCCCGTTTTCAATTTTTTTTTCATAAAAACAAAATTCGCGTTATTCTAGTGGCTAAATGGCAGGTTGAAGAAAACCCTTAAGGCATAAAATGTGGGCAGGCAACGATAGACAGTATTAATACTTTTGTACCCCGTTTTGTATGTAACGAAATGTTTTGTAGGTACGTAACCGTGTTTTGTATCGGAAGTCATGGCGTCAGAGGCCTAGTTACGACCTGGGGGTCTCGGTGCAGAAAATTCAAAAGCACCAGATAGCACCGCTTGATTCGTCGGATTAGGCCAAGAATTGCCAATGAAGATGGCGACTATAATTGCAATCAATGCCGCACTCCACGGTTCGACAATCATGACCTGTATAATTTCAAAGGCCGGCAGCGAGTTTGTTAGAAAGTATCGATATCACATGGCTTAAGAAAACACTTGTGGTGGTGCTGGTGCTCACCTCCATGTCCTTGGTGACGGAGGGGTTGGTGTAGTTGAGGTCAGGTTGCGCAGCCGCGAACTGGTGCAGGTAGAATTGGCCGCGCACCGGATGCCACGTCCAGGCCGGCCCGCCGAACACGCTCAGCTGTGCGGAACAGACGCGCGTCATTGGAAGTGACACACAAAAGACGACACACTAAACACACCGACCAACACAGAGCATTTTTTTTCTGCTTGGACTTTTTTCCAGCCTCAGAGAATTTCGGGTATCCGCGCCGGGTACTTACTATGTCCATAATGGGGACTCATTAACATTTACATTAGACACATATGCGGGCTCCTCGGTCTGTGGTCAGGTGACTCACAAGGCCTTCCGCGGCAACACTGCGGGACTCGATCCCGCGACCCTTCGGACCAAGGCGCTGAGTAGGAATATGCTCTAGACACCTCGACTATCCAGGTCCGTATTTACACGGAGAAAAGTATAATAAAGAAACCACGCGAAATCGGTGTTTGTTTGGAGATAAATCATACGTAGTCTCGTCATAAAAATAGTTTATTACAGAAATCTCCTTCGGTCGCATTGCTTCTGTTTCTAACTTGACATTAACTGTTTGCATTTGCATTAACATTTGCATAAGTGATGAGTGGAAAAACTTTCTAATATAAATGTTCTTTATGTTGAAACTACTCCTGCTATTTATTGCAAACACCATAATTTCAATTCCACTTCCTAACGCTAGTTCTAATGTAATGTGCGTTTCTAATGCATGGGACAAACTGAAACGTTGCATTTATTCCCAACATTGACTACTCGTCGGGGACGTTTTTAATTGGAAACACATGAGCTCTCAGCATCATCAACTAATTTGAACTTTCATGTTCGTGACCAGGGACTGTCAAAACTTTCTTAGTCTTAATTAACATATCCTTCATTCTCTACCTGAGTGACTTGGACGATCTAATTTTGGCGGAAATTGTAGGAGGATTTAAATGTGCCCGATATAACACTAGTGTACTGGTTACCTGTCAACACTTAATCTTCATGGTCTCTGAAGTTAAGAAAGTAAAAATACATTTTATAAAACATAAATTACTTTCCATTTTGTAACACTAATCGTATGAATAACAGTGTCGGAGTATTTTGGTTTAACCTCAAACAGAAGAAGTTCAAATAACTAGGTCCACATAAATCCTTATGCATTTTCAAGTCGACATCGAATTAAAAGTTATTTATGTGAGCATTGTAAAAACAACAATCGTTTGTACACAGATGTGGGCACGATGTGTTCAGTCTACTTGTTTGGAAAGTAATGCCACACAGTAGAGGAAAGCAATGTAGCGGCGAGTCATGTGCCTTTCTGGAGCAACGTCCCGCTTCGCTGAACCGGACACAAAGCAGCTCTTGCGTTCACCGTTTACATTCGGGCTCATCCAAAGTAGCGGTGTAATGGGAACTTCGAAGAATTGCTTCTTGTTTATCATCTCTTGTTGGTGTAACAAGCTTCCTCTCGGTACTAATTCACTATAAGTACGCGGTTATTATAGAAGAATTATTCATATATTCATCTCAAGAAAAAAAAACTTTTCGATTTCCGAGATCACAATAACCCAAGTAAGTTGTTTCGTTGTTAGTGACAATGCCATTGAAACACAGAAATTAAAAACCGTGAAAAACAATAAATTATGCGGAAATTGTAGGACTGGCATTTATTGCTTCTTGGGATATGATTCTGAAAACTATCTACTCGCAAATACTCGCAACTATCTACTAAACTCTAAACTATCTACTCGCACATTCGCAAATAGCTCGAGAGGACTCCAATCTACAACGGCAGCACTGTCATGTAATTTCCTAGTACTCGTATCCACATGTGTGCTCCAATTGATTATTACCTTTTATTTTACCTGGGAGCAGAAATCATCCCGGACCGCCCGATATTAAACGCAACTCTTGCATACAGTCACATGCAGACTCACCCAGTTGTTGGGCGGCAGGCGGCGTTTGGGGTTGCGCGGGTCGGGGCGTCCGTCCGCCCACACGTAGTAGTCGGCGTACGGCTGCACGCGCCGCACCGACTGCTCGAACCACGGGTGGCGGTCGCTCGAGTGGTTGGGTACGAAGTCCAGCAGCAGCCGGATGTCTGCAACGCGTGCGACGCACGAATGGAGACACTTAACGGCCGCGTTCAGTAACGATTAAACGGTCCGCTGATCGTTACTGAACGCGGCCGTTAAGAACTAATCGTTAAGAACAATCGATGCGAATGAGGTGGAGCTAAGGATGGTAGACAGATAAGTACACTTGAGGGGTTTCTTACAAGAATCAAACAAGTCGAAAATTCCATATTTTGAGATATTTCAGCAAATTATTCACAACAATTGGCCCTATCTGCTGTAGCATTTCCTTTCGACATGTCCCAATCACTTTGAAAGATATAAGGCAGGGAAAAATCAAATTAGTTACTATGCACGTCTACACTGTGAATTTTTTGTTGACTCGTGAAAAATATTGAGTTTGGACTAATTTGGTTCTTGTAAAAACACATTCAATAAGTGATATATATTTTTTATATCCTTTTTTGTTATGAAGATATTAAAAATATTGAAAAGCCTTTGGCCTATCTCAGACTCAGAAACAGACTCCGTTGGTTATTTGCTGTCGTCCTCATAACATTCATAACTATATAAATCTAAGATGATGTGTCATTTAAAGCACGAATCAGAAGCCGAATTCCTCGACCGACAAGGGTCTACAAACCAGCCGGCCGAAGGAGCATCGGTCGTCCGAGAAGAAGATGGTTTCCGGAACAGGCAGCCCTGCCTAATCCATGAAATGAAGAAGAAGACTAAGATGAATCAAAATATGGAGCTCCCTAACACTATTCAAATATTAAACATTTGTAAGAAAAATAAAATGAAAATAAACAAAACTTTTTGCAATTAGAAATAATGTAGGAATTCAATATATATAAGAACCAGTATACAATTGTGTTTGATTGCCCTTATCCAAAGGGGCACTTAGGACATTTTGGAGGGGTTTCATAAACGTATTTGTCTAAAAATTACATTTTTCACATGCCCCGGTTTCAATTAAATAGTTTAGACTGCATCTTTTACTTCACTTTTATGCCAACCAAGAAGAAAATATCTAATGGAACAAGGACACAACTCACTTCGGAAGAGCAACTTTTGTAAAACTACTAGTAAATATTAAATTTTTTAAATATTGGCATGGATTACGTTTATTCCTTCTTTAACACGCATGTCTTTTATTTAAAACCTCGTGAAGAAGATGGAGTGAAGACAAAAAATATAACAAAGTATATTAATAATAAGCATTTCAGAATAACGACATAATGACAAACATACGTGCTTTTTCTTTCTGCAATGCGCGTTTAAGTAGTTCAATTTTTAAGTGCACAGATTATATTTCTTCTCCACACGTCAGAGGGTTTTTACTGGTTTTCGACGAAATATAAATTGAACCAAATGAGCGCTGCGCTACCTAGAGTCTGACGAGAGTAAATGACCAACTCACTTGACTTACAATTTAGTTCACTGTTTCTTAACGACAATCACTGAGCCTCGGAGCAAATGCAAGAGTACGCGCACGAGCGTGCAAACGCAAATTCCTTTGCCTGACGCCACTTTTCTCTTCCGACCTCTCATCGCGCTGGCCCTGAAAACGCAGCTCTCCGGAACGCGTGATGCGTAAACTTGTAAATTCCGTTCGTTTCGTGTGGCAGGCGCTGCTTTGTCTCCATTGGAAAGTGGCTGCAGATGCGGAAATGCACTCGTTTGGTCACGCGTGCTTTGAGTGAGAGCGGAGGAGGTGGCGGGACGTGGCGGAGTGAGGCAGAGCGATCCGGCCGGGACGGGAGGAGACGGAACCGGGAGGGGACGGGGCGGGGCCGGGCGGGGCGGACGCGGGGCGGGGAGATGAGGAGCGGGACGTGACGGGGCGACTGGGGCGGAGTGGAGCGGGGTGAGGCGGGGCAGACGGGGTGAGGCGGGCCAGACGGGGTGAGGCGGGCCAGCGGGGTGGGGCGGGTGGGAGCCAGCTGGAGCGGAGCATAGGGGACGGGGACGAGAGGGGCGGAGCGGGCGGAGCGGGCTGAGCGAGGCGGGGTGGGGCGGGACCGGAGCGGGGCATGGGGCTGGGCGGGGAGATGCGGAGCGGGGCGGGACGGGGCGTGGTGGGGCGGAGCGGAGGCGCGAGAGGCGGGGCAAGACGGGGCGGGGCGGGGCGGGGTGAGCAGCTGGAGCGGAGTATAAGGGCGGGACAAGAGGGGCGGAGCGGGGATGAGCGAGAGGGGTGGAGCGGAGCCGCGGAGCGGGGCATGGAGGGCGGGAGAAAAGAGAGGCGGAGCGGGACGGAACGGGAGCGGCGCGAGGCGGAGTGGGGCGGTGCGGGTTGGAGGCGAAAGTGAGAGGGGGGGCGGGGAAGAGGCGGAGCAGTGAGGCGCCTCGGGGAAAGCCTTGGCGGAACTGAGGGCCGCGCGCGAATCAGAGTGCGCCGCGAGTCACGCAGACGCTTCCTGAGCGGGATTTCGGCCAAGGTTTGCGCCGCGATCTGGCTGTTCTTCTTATGAGGCGGGCGACCCGTGATATGATTGTCACGAATCCTTGCTTGATCGAATCCTTGCCAGTCCGTATGGAGTATGTGGTGAATAAAAGGGTTCGCGGAATGTTTCTCAGGGTTCTCCCGTTTTCTGTGCCTCTCATTCCCACATTGCTCCACCATCATTCCAATTTAAACATTATAATCACCAATCCATCAAATTCATTCATTCACTGCAGGAGTGGTTATATGGCTAGAAATGTATCGTAATAAATATCGTGCCATTAGATACCACCTATAAAGGAAGCCACCGCTCAGCCGCGGGATGACGGGTTGCCACCTGGACCACGCGCAATACTTCATTCCCACTTCTGAGTAGTGTAATTTCGCCGCTACCTTTACACGTGTCTCATTTGTCTAATCAATTCTCTGACTCTAAAGAACTTGTCTTAGTTCCGTAATAATTATTAATTAACTACAAAGTACCTTGAAATGATATGATTGTCACATGAAATTAACAATAAAACACGAAAATCCCTACATTTTTGACAAACAATTATGTAACGAGTAAAAATAGTCTTTATTAACCACGAAGTTTTGCATATAGGTTACACGCATCATGTGGTTACATAAAATGTACACACCTAATACCAAAATGTATTCTTTTATTGCTAACCAAAGAATTACACAAGTTTAATCCTGTTCCTAGACACCAACGACCATCTTTTTTTCTGGATATTTCGTTTTCAGAACATTAACTGCAATCTCTTTCCGTTCGACCTCGGGGACGCACAGCAAACGCTCCTCGATGTCTGGGGGGCGCGGCGGACCGGCCCCGGAGGAGAAGGGTGGAGAAGGGAGAGAGGAGGAAGAAGCCCCGGTGTTGAATTTCCAATCACGGCCCAAGCCCAGCTCTTCTGAAAAGAAATGTGTGATCGTATTACATGAACAGGTATTAATTTCAGAATTCTGTTGTAGCAAAGTATCTTCTTTCAATTTTGTGTCGGTTAACGTATCATGAGACACTTTTATTGTATCAGTGAACTCCCAGTTGCGACTGCAGCCGGCTACCGCTAGAAATTTGGTCTCAATTCTTGATTTGAACAGCCCTAATGTAAGGTGCTGCCGTGTCATCGGCTTTCAATTGATAAGAGAGAACAATGGAAAGAATCGATTAGAGCGATCGATCAGAGCCTTCTAGACTCCTCATCAGGCGGTGGTCGTTTTCGACCAATCTATTTAGTCAGAGACGAAAATCCTGCCTCTGTTGAATCCCAAGTGATTATTTCGTGTTTCCGAGAGCGTCAATGTCTATAGTTATTAGTCCCGTGATTGTAGTGTATGTTTTATCACGGCAGATGGTGTTCTTCCCCCCGATGGTGATATTGTCTTAATGTCGGCTTCTGAGGCCCCATCCAGGTATCTCATCAAGGATACATCGCCCCAACCGATACCAACTCTTAGGCCGCGGCTGGTCTCTCGACTTGTGTGGTGTGTCAGTGTATGTGTAAGTAAGGGGGTGTTAATAGGACACGGATGAGGAAGGAAAGATTGCGCATGTGTCCCTTTTGTTAGAGTTCTGTTACCGGTTTTCGCCTAGTGTTGAACGCAGAACCCTAGGAAATTACCGGTCAGAGCAGCCGGCCGCTATAATTCTCTAGCCAGCGGTTATATTCATTCTAGCTATGTAGCTAGAGTGGAAAATCCTGTCACTGTCGGAACTGGAACTCAAGGACCACCCGGTCTCCGGCACAGCAATGGCATCAGTTGATACCCCTGAGCCACCTCAGTAGGTGTGCTGGGATTCGAACCAAAGTTTAAGATCTTCGATTTTGATGGTTGTTCTGTTACAAGAAAAATGCATCGTTTCAGTCTAGCCTTTTTTTCAAGGATCTCTAATTTATCGCAAATTAAATTAATACCCGCCAGAATGAACTATTCAATCTCCACAACTGGCGGGTGATCTCTCACGAACCAAACCTTTCCGCAATCCGAGAACTCTTTCTTCTTGAGGTTACGGCAGGGAGGGACAAGAAACCGAAATTAGTCATGGTACGTTGCGCAAGGAAGATGCAGGGCTTCCGATACGCACGCGGGCACCAAGGTTGAATCGGAGGCGGTGGAATTAGCAGTCAGAAGTAGAGACGGGAAGGAAATCAGACGGAGGCTGAGGTGCAGGAGGGGAGATGTGAAACAGATGAGAGAGATATTGTGGGAAAAGAGTCTGTAACGGCAGTAGGAACAGATGTAGGCACGGCAGAGCCACACGGAGGGAAAGCGACGTGGAGGTGGGTATATATGACTTTGCTCGTGTATTTTCAATTCAAAGCTCCAGCCTTCAGCCTCTACGATTATCATAAACCATCCTTGAGTCTATCCAACACAATTAATGTGAAATTACAGATGCGATTTATCTTAACTAGCTTCTATCGTGTAACTACTACTTTAAAAATATTTCCCCTGAATTAAATTAAATGAAAACTCTCTCCCCCTCATCCCTATTCATTATAAATAATTATTTATACACCATCACTACGGGGCGGATTGTGATGACCTAAGATAATGCCAAAAATGGTCAATAAAATGCGCATAAAATGCTTTAAAAATGCCTCCGAAACAAAAGAAAAATGACGTAAAAAAATTTATAAAACCCACTTAAGATGAATAACACAAGCTGTTGGATATGTTACTGATGTAGTCGAGGCGTTGTCCTTTCGCTTAAATGAACTAAGCTTGCAAACTTTTGGTTTGGACTGTTCTTTACAAGAGAATCTTAGCTTTTATTTATCGCGAAAATGGTAGAACTGAGAATGGCGCTGACAGGCGTCACAGGAACTTTATGTTACATGGTACTCACAACGGCTGATATTACAATATGTAAGCAAAGAAATCGAATTGGCTACTCAGGAATTCTGTAGTAAATATTTGTTGCACCTCGTATGTAGTGTTTGAAGCAAGACCCATTAAAATTATATTAAAATCAATGAAATCTGCAAAAAATGCTTTAAAATGATGCAAAGCGGTAAAAAATGTCTTATTAGTCATTGACGATAATTGCAAAATAATGAATAAAAATCGGTCATTTCGTTTAGTCATAACATAAAATGAATTTCTTTATTAACAGCGTTGTCGTAATGTGAAAAGAAAAAAAAGACATTTCATTGAAATCCGCCCCTACTTATCATTTAAAGGGCATTTCACGCATATTTTACTAAGTTTAACAAATGAACTTCAGTAATTTTCGTAGACGTTACGGGTTAGAAGAAACATCTGTTCTGTGCATTCCTCACATATTTTATTCATCCGTACGGTTTAGCGCTTTAAAAAACCCTCAGGTGCAATTCGGGTACAGAGGCGGAGATGATGGAGCGATGGTGGAGGTTAACGTGGGCCCAGAGGCGGAATCCAGGTTGGTGGTGCTAAAGTAGAAACAGGGGCGGCTACGAGGGCGAATGGTCATGTCCCCCTTTGAAAATGTACTGAAATAAAAGAGTTATTTATGCACCGAGTCCGTTACAAGGGTTCTAATGATCGAGTGACAGCAAAATGCCCGAGGGACTTTGGCCCATGGACTTTTTTGTCCCCGAGATAATTATAACCAGTGAATACCCGTGATACATACAACATTTTATTTTTACCTACTTTTAATAATTCAAATTTATTAATTTACTAATTATCCAGATGTGAACTTAACTCTGTTTTTTTCTTTTCAAATTTCCCTCCAATATTCCCCTTCGTAATAGCGTCCATAACAGAAGCTGTAGCTTCATATTCCCCTCCTAACCACCATCCTCTCGATTCAGATAAGTTATGCAGCATATATATGGAGCACCGTATCCAAGGCAAAACAAGCAATAACGTACCACTAACAAACATATACATTTTTTTGAAATTCAGTCAGTAAATATGCTTCATAATGCTATTAATTTTAAACCTTTAATGATATTTACAATTTTAATAATGCATTTTACAATAACATATTTTGAATATATTATTTGAGATCTATTTATAATATTTCAAAAAAAGGAGTACTAATAGAAATTTGTATAAAAATATTCTTTAAATTTGATTTCCAAATTGTTTATTAATTAAGATAAAAATTAAAGAAATGTATAAATTAATACTTATCCATTCCCATTAATAAAATAAATTAAAAGTCTATTTCCTTACGATTTTGAACTGCCATCCACCTCAAGACGATCAATCGGAATTTAAAACTATTTTATGTCTGTCAACAAATACTGCGCTTGCCGGTCCGGAGGCCGAGATCGTTAAGGCGGTAGTACCGTAGCGATCCCGACCCGAAGAATCGCGGGGTCGAGTCCCATCTCAGGCATGGTTGTATTTGTGTTCGTCCTTTCACCCCTATCATCACCATATAATGTCATCTTAACAGTTACCATACCGTTAAATGCAAGAGTGGTTGCTAATGACCTAGATGTCGCGATGATGCGACCTTAAATAACAAAAAAAATCTGCGCTCCAAGAGCAAATTAAGAAACTGTACATCTGTTATAAAATACTGCATTGTGTGTAAGTGTAATAATTGTAAAATCATCGTATAATGATAATAACAATAATGACGATCAAAATGTCTCGTTTTCCGAAACCGCCCTTGTGGGAAGGAGGGGGCTCTTCCCGCGACGGCGTATCGAGGCCGCTTCCAGAGAAGCGCTTTCGCTGCGCAGCGCTGCGGAAAACGAGGACGAGCGAACCCAGCAAAGCGGAGCCCTCCCGCGCTCCACGACGCAACACTCTCCAGCCTCCCAGCCCAGCCCTGCTCTGCTCTGCTCTGCTCAGCTCAGCCCAGCTCAGTCCAGCTCAGCTCAGCCCAGCGCAGCCCAGCCTAGCCCAGCCCAGCCCAGCCCAGCCCAGCCCAGCTAATCTCTGCTCAGCCCAGCCGTTTAACTTACAAATACTAGATCAAGTGGGACGTGCAGTCACAAGGCCCTTCAGACGTCTTGGTAGCTAGCTGCACTTCTGTCTAGCGATGCATGTTGCAGAGAGAATTCGCGGGCGGTTTCTATCCACTGACGAAGTGCGTCAAAACCAGTGATTTCAACGTCACCTTTCTTTAAGAACGCAATAGGTCCTATTATACACGAGGAGAAAAACAAATTCTACCTGAAACTATTGTCAGAAAGTTAGAAATAAATCACCAGTTTTAATGAGGTATTTTGATTATCATTATTGTTATTATCACTATACGATAATTTTACAATTATTATTCACTTTAAAAAAATAGACATATGAGTTTCTTAATTTGTTCTGAAAGCGCAAACTATGTTGACAGACTTAAAATGGTTTTAAATACAGATTTCTCTTATTTTTTTTACTAAGTAACGCAATAGCATAGAAACTTTAAAAAATGTGATTTATTAAAGAAGAATTGCTGTATGGAAACGCATGCTGTGAATATAGTAAATGACACCGTCAGCCTTTCTTCTTGTCGGAAGAAAGACACAATTACGGGAAACAATTTTCATCCAATTTCCAGTAGCCCCATTCGAGTTGGATCTCTGAAATTAATTCCCGTACCCATCCATGATAGGATTCTTTTTGGACGTACGATGCGCAAAAAATGAGTATATTCTGAAAGTTGTTTTACTGCGAAAAATGTACAAGTTATGCTTAGTTGACATAATTAATTTCGCGTCTAGATGATAACTGAACGTGAGGAGATAAATCCTCTACCAACGAGGTTTGTTTAATTTCCTTTTTTTTTTATTTTGAACGCGGGTACTTCTCCTTATCTTTTCATATGACATTGTCTCGTCAACTAGAAAGAGAAATCTTGAATTAAAAGAAGGTAAAACCTTCTTGTAATTTAGTGGAAGATTAAAAAATATTTATGTAAATTAAGGGACTCAATACAAGTGTTTTAGTGTTAGAGTCGGAGGAAGTTTCCATGTCTTCAGTTACAAATTATTGTCCATAAATCAATAATTACATTCTTCCTTTATGTCGTTAAATAATGCACTTTCGTGTTCGTTTTAATGAGTTTTAATTATTTTATGTGTTACACAATGTAATTAAAACCTTTTATTTTTTGGGTTTTAGGTTTTTGTCAGGAAAAGGAAAACTTACAAAACCATCTTCGATATTAAATATTTAAGACTTTTTAATTTGCTGAAATAGTTCAGTCATTGATGCACCTCAATATAAACGAAATACCCAATCATCGAAGATACAAATAGACAAACATACTTAACAAGGTAAAGAAGAAAGACCTCCAATACACCTTACCGACGCTGTGCAATTTCTCCAGGAGCCTGTCGAAGTCTTGCAACGTGCCGAAGACCGGGTCGACGTCTGTGAAGTCAGAGATGTCGTAACCGAAGTCCACCATGGGGGACTTGAAGATGGGCGACAGCCATACAGCATCTACGCCCAGCTCCTTCAGAAAGTCCACCTTCTCAGTGATCCCTGGGCAAAGGAACACAAAGGTGCGATTTTAGATAACCAACATGAGTACCTTTGGCAATATAATATAGGAAACATGTTTTCCTATTTGGCAGCTTTCTTAAATTGTATTTCCAAGAATCCCTGGTACTTTATTATATACACTGATCTAACAATTATCTGCAATATTTCAGTGAATGTTTGAAAACAATCTTCATTGAGTTCCAGTATTTCATAACATTGTCTGCATAAACATACAGCAGTAGCAGATTACATATCCCTTTTATTTATTTTTGTCAGAAAGTGTTTTCCATGCTGGAACTACATCTGAACAATTCCACACCGTAATTTCAGGTAAAATAATTAAACTACTGCTTTAAAAATGTCGTTACGAGAAAGTTACGTTACAGAAAGTTTAAGTAGCAGGAATACAAAATAAACCACATACGAAAAAACACTTTACTTGATTCAAATTTAATATTATTTAAATTGAGATCGAAGTTTTATTTCAACTCCTAGTACTCCGAGCAAAGTCGATTATTTTTGCATTCTCCTCTGGATTTCGTTTAGATTTTCAAAAATTATGAAATAGATTTTTCTGTTGACTTAGAAAACACACAATAACTGACACGACAGTGTTTAAAAAGAATATTATACATTTTATTAGAATAGTGGTACATTTATACAATAAATTATATGTTCAACATATTATCTGATTTTGCTGTAAGATAAAACAAGTTTGATGAATATGTTTATGTTTCGGATATTAGAGATTACTTTAAGGTACTTCTTTAATATTAATTCTTGATTTTTATGTATTACTTTAAGGTATAAGATAAAATTATATTGTGTTATCACTCTTACGGTTTGATTTATATGTTGGCAACAGGTCTGTGAGAAAATAACTTTTTTCTTCAGAAAATAAGGTCTGTTCATAATTATTTAAACTCTTTTTAAATTAACCTTCTCTGTTGTCTGTGAGTTAAGTGTTGAATATTCTGTGATTGTAAATCCTACTTGCAAAATAAAGTGACGTACGTATTCTGAAAGAAAATAGGAAGTCGCAAATTCTACTCGAAAATCAAAATTGTAAATAAACACTTCAAGAGATTGTAGCAAATAAACTCCGCATTTATGATATTAGTACCCCCTTTAGTTTTTAAATTTAAAAATAAATCTGATAAGAAAGTAATGAAATGTGAAGTACATAAGAGAAATAGTGAAATCAGGTTTCACTTTGAAACATTGGGAGAGTATTTACAGGTTCTGTTAGCTACACAGCCACACCTGTGGAATTGTTATTTGCGATATTTTATGCTCATTTCCGAAAGAAATAAAGGAGTTAAAACCTAAATTTAAGTAGGTAATTAATAATTAACATACATAATCCAGTAAAACCGCATTATATCTAAAGAAGTTCATATATTTGTGTAAGGCCCGTGCACTTCGAGATTTTTTCACTGACCAATCTCATCAAGGGCAGAAATTTCTGGGAATTTTCTTAGCTATCCTTGTAGTGATAATATGTCGGTAATTTGAACTTGCATATTTACTACAAGAGATCGCGACAAATCAGAAACATTTATCCGTTACTTGAGGCGTTCCTGACAAAGTATATGGGACCTGACTGGAATGGGAATTATCGGAGGATTTCATGTGGATTAGCAAATTAATTAAGCAATTTAGTTAGGACTCTTTTACATGCACAAGTACTACATAGCCTCTACGTATTTATCGCTCCTTGAGAGTTTACACAACTCAGTCGATATTGAACCTACCCTTAGGGTGGGGAGGAGTGAAAAGGCAGAGAGCTAACCACTCCCTACTGTTCATCATTGGTTTAAATATTACATCGAATATATACAACATTTGTTTTTTAAATTTCAGTCATTTTACAGAAAATTTTTAAAATTTTACAGTGGCTTTATGTAAATTTCATCCCTTCCAATTTAAATTGCATTAATGATCTCCGAAACGGCACATCTAGATCTTACTCATTATTTACCAAGTTTCAGCTCCAAATCGTCTAATCTGACAGAGTTATGTACGACGTATTACTTCCATACATATGTACAGTCCGAATTTCGGGTAGAAAATCATGTGTATCTCCTCGCCACCTGCGCCAATCTTAGCCACCGTTCTAAAAGCTCAACTACTCTTAATATTCACGTGTGCGAAGTAGCAACTCAAAAGAACCTTAAACACCGAAATTTCGAAATTGTAATGTTGAGGTGATTCCAATGGAAAAATTGTGTAAATAAATAATATCAATATTTTGCAGAAACTATTACAATTCAGTTACATTAAGGAAGAATAGTCTAAGAAGTTGAGATACATCAGTTCTATTTATAATGTTCACTTTTACAGACACAATCCACTTGAGTAACGGAAGACGTCAATTCCTAAGAGAGTTGACAGCCAAAGTAACAACTTGCTTTGTATTGAGAAAATATGATTTAAATAATTACTGGAATGGATTATTGTTTACGTAGCCATGTAATCATCCACGTGTTGACGAGTATTTGAAGTGTACTCATTACGTTATTACATGTACACGAATCTCCTAATATATTGAACGGAAACATACTTTCGCAATAAAAAGCAAGAGGTTTATCAGACGTTTAGTGTATAAATAATTCCAGTCTCCAATTATCTCTGAGAACTACTCGGTGATGTACAATCGCTCACAGCAACCGGTAACTTTTGCATTCGAAATGTCTTGCGTGCTATTCCAACCATAAAGAGGAGGAGGCGCGCAGACGTCCGTTGCAGGCAAAACGCCTTTACCGGGGTTACCTCAAAGTTGCAGTCATAATGGGCGCTTACGCAGTGTTTCCGGAGTGCAACGACGCCGAAAGAGGATGTCCTCTCAGTTTTTCCTGCGTGTCCGACGAGTCAGGAATAATTTTTCTACTTTCAGAACAATGTCGCAATTATAATTCATTTTGCAAGGGCAGGCTGTGCTCTGGAAAGGTCTTTTTTATTATTTTTCAAGAAGTCGCCTTTCAAGAATGTAAGATAATAGAACTAGCTCTATATTTACAATGACCTCTCCTTTAACCAAATTGTCACTTGGATTGCCACGGTAAGGATGAATAGGAGGGAAGATAATAAAGAAGAGGAAGAAGGGAGTAAGGGAAAAAAGGAGAGGAGGAAAAGAATAATAAAATTGTGAAACATATTTTATAGGGTAAAAGTGAAGGTAGAAAAAAAAGAGGAAAAATAAAAGTGGAGAGGGAAGAAGGAGTAGAAGGAGGAGAAAGAGATGAGGCAACAGTTTTTCATTTCGCTTCCATAAACAGTCTGAGATTTTTAGAACACAATTATTATCCAAGTGACTGAACCTGAAAACTGTTCTAAAGGTCATTTTAACGAATTCTAACGATGAATATCCCCCATGTATCTATAAAGCTATGAACTCTAGCCAGTCAGTAATGAGTTAGCCAAGATATTGTCATGGTTCATTCTCACGATAGAAGATTTTGAATTCGCGGATTACTATTCACCGTTAAGAGCTTTAAACCAATTCGTTTTCTCGGGTATTCAGTGTTAATTTGCCTAATTGCTGAGTAAGAGCAGAAAAAGTCACATATCGAGAGTTTGTATAAATCGACAGACCAACACCACTACGTCACGCCCTGCAAACTACACTCTATATTAGCACTAATAATTCGCGTTCGTCTACGGTGCGATGAGTCAAACACAAACAAAAATGAGCCCCTAGCAAAGCGCTCAGGTCTCAAACGTCTTTACGGCCGTAAAGGTTGGCTAGCTGTCACCATGCCTCTGGGAATACCATCTCAACAGTTTGACAGGATAATGGAAAACCTCAGAAACCAGAGACATAAGTCAACTCAACAGCAATTTCATGACAACGAAGGCTATTACGAATGAGTCATTTACCGTGAAATTGTTCCGCAGATAATTTCGTCACGTAAGTCCGAAGAAGAACATTTAAGAGGAGAGAAGAAAAATTTCATCTAAATCAATTTTATCATGCCAAAATAAAAACAATAAGTCTAAGGAGAGCTTTCTTCTTCTTCCTCTTCCCCTTCTTCTTCTTCTTCTTATTTTTCTTCTTCTTCTTCTTCTTCTTCTTCTTCTTCTTCTTCTTCTTATTATTATTATTATTATTATTATTATTATTATTACTTATCATTCTACTAATGATGTTTTGGTTGTTCTTATTATTACGTTGCTTATTTGGTTGTTTATTATTATTTTTATTATTATTGTAATATTATAATTATTACGAGTTATTTAATGAATAATTGTCATGCAAAGAATATTGATACCCTTACGGAGTCTTTCAATACAATTTTTCCTGATATTTCCATTACGATTCATTAACTTAAAATCAGAAAATGGTATTGATGCGTTTTTAAAGGAAGGTGACGATCTTGATGACTCTACCAATGAATCTTGCGTTTAATTCGAGCTACAATCACCCCAAAACCATTTCGGTGTGATATGACAAAGTAATAAATAAAATTATCTCATTTGAAAATAATTGTTTTATCCTCTGAAGTACTCCTTCCATCTGCTGTAGTCATCAGAATAGCCATAACTAATTTTGAAATATTAAGATATAACTTATTACAAAAAGTATGATTTTACATAAATTGTTAATTAAATGTTCACAAAAAATGAAATTAATTAACCATTTCGTAGGATCACTGTCTCAAAAACAATAACAACTTCAAATAAATGCTTAATGCAAATTCAAATTTGCGTTGTTCGCAGTACCACCATTAGGTTTGATAACGGAATTGGGAAAGAAAAGGAAAAACAGATAAATCCCAACTTAACGCTCAACAATAATCTTTTTTAACCATTGGACAAAAATAAAACAGCCACCAGGGGGGTCATAGTTTCAAAAATTATTGCACAGAAAAAATTGTATAAAGACGGTGAAACTGTGGTTTAGTATGGCGAAAATGTGCTTAGAAGTAAATGCGTTAATAAATGGTATATTTTTAGACGTTGAAGATACATTATTTGATAATTTCAAAAATAAAAGTAAGATTGTGTTTGCTATAAATATGTACATCTTTCTGCAAATACAGTAATAAGGAAGGTAGAGTTTATAGGTTGTGGCGTTACTTCAACAACTTAAAATGACTTCGATCGTTGCAGATATTTTTCCTTACAACTTTACGTTCCATACCATTCTGAACGAAATTAACTCGATATTTTCATTAGCTATTTATTTAGAATGAATGTGTATTCCATAACAATATTCCAATGATATTTGCTCTCCTGGGGCGCTATCCGCTTTGCTTATTGTTTTTAGTTTTCCTCTTCTGGGTTATAGGCTTAATAACCTTGGAAGTCCGTCGGATTTGCTGGATTTTGCGGTGCAGAAAGTGGGTTCGCGGCAGTTTGCCCCCGAGTTATCTCCCGTTTCGCTTGATTGTCATTGCACCACCTTATCCATCTTCGTTCAGATTACTTCACAGATCATCGTCCATCGCCATCATCATTAACATCGCGTCTCAGGGCAAACGTCTCACCGGGAAACCCGACGGAGGCCACGTTCTATGTCTGCAATTAGTTCCAATTAACCGTGTCTCCGAAATGTATGCCATTCGGCAAACTATCTAACTCTCGTAATGTTTCTAACGCCTTGAGCTTTTTCTCCAAAAATATGAAGTAATCGATCGGAGGACATTAATTACATGTTTTGTAAAAATAAGATAGTTTAACGCGAACGCGTACGAAACAATTACCGGCAAATTAAAATGTGTTCGTACTTTTCCCCCGTGCGTATTATTATTCCATAGACACTCCACGTCC